CGATTGTTTCACAGCCAATTCAACTGTTTAGTTGCACAACTAAAGATCGAGTATTGTGCGCACCTCCGTATAAGCTCATAGAAAGCGCGACTAAACAGTTGTGCGATAGTTCTCCATGTTAGTTGATGGTAAAAGAAAACATACTGATTTAAATGTATTTTTCCTTTTTTACATTTCGTATTGTTGATAAGTTCTTTCGCAAAGAGTCTTTTACTTAGTATTTTTTTTACACTTCGTTACGGTTGCTAGCATAAAACTTACTTTGTTGCCAACACTATACATAAAAACAATGTTTTTATAACAAAAAATACATCTTTCAATAATATAAAACCTTCTTAAACATAACTTTTAAGTAGCAGTAAAAGAAATATAGATCATAAACCCGATACTTCTAAATTAGGGTAAAAATATTTTGTAACGTTAACTTTTTATTGTTTACTCTCAGTTCTAAGAGCGGTCTGTTCAGATACTTAATTTTATAGAACACGTTGATATACCTTTATGATTACTACAATACTTTCCAAGAAACTCATGAATAGCTTTCAATTTTTATTGCTTCCATTTGACCCATTGATGGACGAGACTTCTACAGTAAACTGCAACTTTGTTATTTTATCCGTATTGCTAATTATAAATTGAGTGTTCCCAGGTTTATCTACAACAATACGACTTAGGATCTGTAGAAAAAGGTCCTATTATCTTTGTTATAAAATTTTTCTACCAGCTCGAGTGATACCGCGACTTAACATTGCTGAACGAGACTTCTACATTAAACTCCAACTTTGTTCATCCGTATTGCTAATTATAAAATGATTCGTTCCCAGATTTATTTACGACAATACGACTTAAGATCTGCAAAAAAGGTTCTATTTTATTTGTTAAAAAATTTTTCTACTAGCTCGAGTGACTCCGCGGTTTAACCTCCTGCGACTAGTGGAAATGGTAGCTCGGCTAGAGTTGCTATAGTCGGGCTACTGGAAAAATGATCTAAAGGCTAACTTTCTTGTCTTGTAGTTCAAAAATATCTCTTATTATTTAACATTAAGGTTCCCCGTTCTTACACCATATTATCCTATTAAAAATTGGATACGAAAATATTTCGCTTAAAATATTCTTAACGGAGGTCCAATATTCTCATTTTGAATACGAAATGAGGCTTTAATAAGCACGTTCAACCTCTGTTGATGACTGGACATGTAAATTAATTACTTCCATTTTAATTAACTTAATAAATCAAGTACACGTGGAGGTAAACAAAAGGTTCTTTATCAAGCAATGATTGTTCTAAGAGAGGTCTGTAAAGTATGATAAATTATAACGTGATAATTACTGGCATCAGATAATTTTATTTGCTTAATAGAATTTTCTTTTGGATTTTTAACGGTTTTCTATAACTTTTATTATAACCTTTTACTAGTTATTGTCGTAGGGAAATAACAAAGACATTATGGAAATTCTTTGTACATTTTTATTTAATACTATTCAATTTATTCTCTGACAATAAGAAAAGTAGAAAAGAGCGTAATTATAGAAAACTATGCTACTGAAAGAGAAATTTTCTTGAAAGAAACGGGAAACGCTGTATTTAATAAGATAATGCGGATAAAATTACATAACTTGCGCTAACAAGAATCTATAATGTAAGAAGATATTGTTACACTAAAACTAGTAAGACGACCCGGTTTCACATGAATAGATGATGTCTTCAAAAATGTGAAAAATAGTTTGGGCTCATAAATTGATTAACGCCGGTTGTAGTCAAAAAGCATGATTCATTGTCACGTTCCTCCTCAGCCGCACGTGCAAGCGAGAGCGCCGAACAAGACGAGAGGCACGATCGTTCAAAGCGTTTAGTGTGACGTCATCAAATAAAATCGTCCGGAAAGTTTACAAACAAACATTTCATATAATATTTTTTATCAGACTTTTAATGGGGGAGAGACTTTGTAATATTAGTAGTCTTCAGTCTTACTAATATTATAAATGCGAATGTTTAATATCGATAGATGTTTGTTAGAGTTTGCTGCCTAAACGACTAAACGAATCTCGATTAAATTGGACATAGATGTAGAGCATAATCTAGAAGAGCAAATTGCTTCTGTTTTTTCAAATCCACGCGAACAGAGTTGCGTGTAAAAGGTAGTAAATATGGTAAAAAATACTAGTAAAATTATGTTAAAATAGTTTCCTACATAGTCAGTAACATGGCTCGCATTTTAAAGCAAATATTTGTTCTTCCGCATACGTTATGCTTAACATTCGCTTGGCAACTTTCAAAAGTGTTTACTTTGAATCTAAGTTGCACTTAGACAAGGTAAATGTTTGCATCGCTGCACGCTTGATGCATTAAACTTGACAACTGATGTACTACTTGACGCTACCAAGAAATTTTACTGCAGTTCTGTTGTTTTCGTTACTATTTCCACTGCCGAAGAAACTGTTAATGCGGATGACTACGCTCACGGTCGCTTTATTTTAGCGAATTCTAGTTACCGCTTGCTCGTTTTTTGTTTTAATTTATTCGTTTGTTAAAAAACTAGTGATAAATACTACCTTTCGCCCGCGACTCCCTCCGCGTGGAATTAAAAAATAAAAAAGAAAGTAGCCTATGTTTTCTTTCAGGCTGTGTTCTACATCTATGCCAAATTTCATCGAGATCCGTTCAGCAATTTATCCTATAAACTGTAACATATATATATTGCTGTATTTCTTGTAGAACTTTGTTTCTTAATATACACTCTGAATAGGGATTTATTTTTATTATGATATGTGCTCCACGAGGTGCCATCTTTTTAAAATTATGAACACACAGAGCAGTGGAATACAGTATCATGTTCAGTGTCAGTACTGCTTACATAATTTGAATTATGCGTAGTCTGTGGCGCTACCAGAGGTCGTAACGGAACGTTCTCTATTCTGTTTATGCATTCAGAACGTCAGTTGATTTCAGTAAAATATTTATGAACTTATTTCTTTAATTACGTAAATTAAAAAAAAAATATTTTGGATCGTGAGTTTAGTTTATTTTACTACGAATTATTAATTGACATTTTCCTGACCTTACAGAGGGTCGGCACATTATGTATGGACAATATATTACTCTTCTATACATCTCTCATACCGAATCTTGTTCTTTCATGATAATAAGTTTTTCCACATCTTTTAGTGTTCAGTATTAAAACACGTTATCTTGTAGTGTTACGAAATCAACTAAATCTGGAATAAAGTTACTAAAACCTCTTAATAAACAAAGTTCTTTTCTTCGATCGCTAACACAAAGTATATTATTTTTTGCCCAACTTATATAAGAAAAGGTACAGTTAAGCCACTTCAGTACACTTACGTATTTCAAGTGTCCAACGAATGTAGGAAAACAAAAATGTCCAACGCTATCATGTCAAGCCACTAAGCAAACGAAAAGTTTGCGCAACTTAATGTGGACTTCGTTTACGCTAAAGTAAATATTGCTAAGAACAATATGACATCACATTTTCAATTTAATTTATTTATAGAACTCTAACAACTTGTAGATACAATGAAGGTTATACGTATACCTTAATTAACAGTAATATATCATAGTAGCTTTCGCCCGCGACTCCGTCCTTGTGAAATTTAAAAAAAAAAAAAAACAAAAGTTAGTAGCTTTTTCGTTCTTTCAGACTATCCTCTACGTCTATGCCAAATTTCATCTAGATCTATTCAGCCGTTCAGGCTACAAACTCTAACAAACATCCATCCATCCATCTAAACTTTCGCATTTTAAGATTAGTAAGAAGTAAGATTTAAACAACCAACAGATTGCTGCTTATTTTAGTACAACATTTTTCATAATTTAAATTATACATTCGAAAATGACAACAAATTCCAGCTCTGATTGACAAATCTAGATTATTATTAGTCAAAAATTAGCAACAATTTTTTGTCTTGCACAAGTGTTATTGCTATTTAAAATCTAAAAAGAAAACGCAAACATTTTCCCGAGCTAAAGTAGAAATGTGGATAGAAAATGTGTTAATAATTTGATTTTCTCTGTATGTCGCGTGAAGTGTGTAGAATTCCACACATTTGTAGCGTAGCCTGCGTTCGCAAGGAAGCACGTGCGATTTAGACAAAAGGGAATTCCTTCAGAGAACTTTAATGAGCTTTTAATTTTTGTGTTAAGAAAATTGCATTCAATACCCATATAAGGGCGCTATTGGTCTTTAAATTTTACAGCCACTCATAACCTCGAGCCCAGAGGGTTCGTTAAAGAGGTCGTTTGTAGTGCAGAAACCGGCTTGAATCAGCTTGCATCATTAGCTCACTCTTCGTTTTCATTAAGGGTCTCAGAGCTTACTTTAATGTACTGTTGATTAGACTTTTGAATAGGTCAACGCTAGTGACGCTGGACGAAGTCCGGTGTGTTTTATAGAAAAAAAAATTCTTGGGGTAATAAAATAACATGTTGATTATATCTTCTTTGTCAAGGAATTGATCAAAAGCAAAGCTTACCCTTGTGTTCGTTTCGAATGCATTTCATATAATGTAGTGTATCTAACGAGTGCTTTGTTGCAGTGGTCGCAACTAGCTGTGGGCGATATTATGTGCTCTGTTTAAAGCCACAAAAGGCTCGTACAATCAACTGCGCTCCAGAGCACAGTTGGGTCAGTCTTAAGAACTTGCTTCATTGTACTGAATTTCAACCGTAACCTTAATTTTTTTCTTAGAACTTCCCAACGAGATGTTGTAGAAAACTTCAGATGTAAAAATACCATAAGTACAAACTTAGTTCAAATTTGCAGTGCTATTTTACAATGTCATTAGTAATATTTTAGTGGTTTTGTTAAAATATACTTATGTACTAAATACTAAGATATAAAATAAAATCTTTTATTGTGTTCTATCTTTACAAAGACATTAAAAGCCACAAAGTAAATCTGTGCTAAAGTTTTTAATCCAATTCCTTTTAAACTTTTAAGAATGACAAAGACATTAATTCATAAACCTTTCCTTTGTTACAGATAACAGAAGATCTGTCCATCGAAATAAATGTTCAATCAGTCCAATTATAACAGACGGTGAAACGTCCATTTAATTCTAGAACATTCTAAATACTTCTAAGGACCGTAGATGTCTAGATAGTTGATCAATTTTAAATTGTTCTGAATAAATTCTAAAACCAACTAGAATACCTCTTAAGATTGTATAGAATCAGAAGCATTTTAAGAATCTTGTTCTATTAAATTCTGTAACATCCTATAAATACTAAAGATAGTATAGAATCCACAACTATAGATAACCTCTATAGAAGCTCTCTCGTTACGTAATTAACCACGAGGACAACAACTAAACAACGATGGCTCGGCCTGAGGTTGTGCGATGAGGCGGCGGATGAGGACGAGGGTATGGAGGAACCCACCGCCACCAAGCGGCCCTCCGTGCTGACTATAGACAGGGCCGCGTTCCTTCTTCTACGAGTCAAAAGAGCTTTCAAGAAGAAGAGACAGCAGAGAAAGGAAAAACAGTGAGTATTAGTAGCTGAAATCAGAGTCTGTAAATGGCAACTTTGGGTGTCTCTAGTTGTGTCACTAAGGGCCACCTTTAGTGTGCACATATCGACATTCTTGACTCTACTGAGTTATAAAAAAATTAGGTATTCTTTTGAAATATTTGATATTAATTAGATTCTGCGTACATGTAAGAGTATTTAGTTTTTCGCTTTGTAATTTCAATGTTTAATTTTCTAAATGAAAATAAGTATAGACGATAATATTATGGAATCATCTAAACACAATCCTGTGACTTCTTTCAAGCATAATATCTTTCAATACATAATGCAGATCACAATAATACTTATGTATTTATCTCACGTACAAAAGTTATGTAATCCTCAGTTCTTATTGTTATTATACAGTTCTGAATGTTTCAATACGCGGTTCATTTCTCTCTTTGGAAGTAATGTGTAGTTATATCTCTTAATGGCCAATGAATGCTGATTACTATGATATTAAAACAATAATAAAATGTACAGTCAGCTAAATAAATATCTATACATTTAGAAATCTTTAGATACTTCTAGAGGCATTCATTTTCAAAAATCCCGTACGTATTTGTACTCATGGCTGAAATAATATGGACACATACGCGTATATTTTTGAAATCAAGAGAGTACACAAGTTTTTGTTGCTTTGTAAATGTAAATATTTATGTAGCTGACTGTATAATTGATCCATAAATTATATTTTAATTTGATGTTTCACTTCATATTTTAGATGAAGGAATGATGGTGGGTTCCTTCTTTACAAAAGAAATTGAAAAAAAAAGGTTAATTTTGAAAACCGGAATGTGCAATATTAAGACCAAACGTGTTTAAAAAGGTCGAAAAGATTTATGATTCGTTTAGTACAAAATCAAAAGTAAATGAATTTTTATTATTTCGACGTTTTTACGAATGTGTAGAAAACGCAAAATGGGAAAAACCTTTTTCAAACTAAATGCAAAAGCATCTTAAACCTGGCTGGAATAATACTATACTGTTAAATTCTCAATACTTTATTATTTAAAAGTTGATTGGTTTTTCAGTGGACGTAATATCCAATTTTGGATTAGCGTCAACTGTACGTTCTTCTTCTGTTTTCTTCTTTGCTAGATCTTTCTTCACAGATGATTTATTTGAAAATGCAGTCGTTATTCTTGTGTTTTCTTTTATCTCGTTATCACCAACTGCATGTATTGCCGGTTTCTTTTTCAACATAGATTCAATTTCTCCGTCTAATTGAGATTTTTTCTTGGGCATAAGAAATATGTCTATCGCTGGTGGTTTTATCGAATCCATTGGTAAGATATTTCTCTTACCAAGTAAGTTCTCGAGAATTTTTGTTAGCGGTGAAAACATTGAATTTGTTGGTAAAGTGTTTGCAAGCATTTGGTTCTGTTTAGGTGAGAATTCGAAAAAGACACCTTCTTCACGTATATTTTCGTGGGAATCACAACATAAAGTAGAAGTGAGCTCCTTGTTGAAAGAGAAAAGATCGTTACTCATTAAGATTTTGTTGAGAATTTCTGAAGGATGCGTTGCAAATGGATCTTTCAATTGGCGGAGATTCGAACACGGACATGGCTGGTCGAGTGTTGATTCGTGTTGAGATGAAAACAATGAATTGAATGGTTGCATATACGGATCTTGTTTGTTTAAGAGGTCTGTAAAATTTTCCATTTTAAATCACAAGTAATCATTCTAAAAAAAAATTTACATACAAAATAAACTTACCTTTATATTTGTCTCCCAAATAAAAAGAGAAGTCCATTTTTCCGAAATTGACAAGCGAATTACTTATTGCCGGCAACGACTTGAAAGTTTTTATCTCACGGGACAAAATCCCTGTTAAAAAACCTAACAGGGCTACAAAAATTGTTAACAACGCCATCTAGAAGAGAAAAAAATGTTAAAAGAAAAAAATACTTATTAACAAGAGAAACAAACTACAGAATTGTGGTACTCGTTTTGTAAAGTAATATATTAGGTACAAAAATACCTTAGAATTTTGTCGCTGTTCAAATCGTTTGATGACACGAGCAATAAGAATAAAAGTTCGATTGAAATTCAATGTAAATCAAATACCGCTGTTTCACAACTTCAATTTAGCCGTTTATGGGATTTCTATTTTATAGTCGGTCTTTCGTAATTTAAAGTAAATCAGCCTTGGCAAAAATAGAGTAGATTTTTTTCAACTACCTTCTTAAATTGAAACTATACATTCAAAGAAATAATAGCAAAAATATTCTTTGTTACTAATAAGTGTTTAGATTGAATGTGGATGGCTACAAAGGTAGTAGAAGATCGAGGAAAGTATGGATGGATTGTATGAAAGAGGATATGCTTAAGAAAGGAGTGGATTCAGATATGACGGCTGATAGAGATGTATGGAAGAGCAGCACAAACTGTGCCGACCATCCGTAAGGGATAAGGGCAAGTGGATGATAGAATAAGAAAAAGTCTTCATGCAAACTGATGTAATATAAAAATGTAAACAACATTTTTCCTTATTACATTTTCCTTCTACAATACAAATTCTTAGTAATGTAACTACAGATATGTGCTTTCAAGATGTAATAAAATATTTGAGAATAAAATCGGCTACTGGTAATAGAGCTATAAAATTCGTTATGGAATTATCTTTGGAGTGTCAGTATGAATCAGATTTTGATATTTTAAAGCACATTGACTTATACCAGAAATAGATAGGAATTAAGAAAAAAATATCTCCAACATGTAATAATTTGAATAGTATTTTGAATTCACAGACGACTGATAAAAGTATAAGGAACACACAGTTACCCTTAACTCTGTCGCGTGGAATTAATAAATTCTTTTTATTGCTCTATTTCTTCTTTTAGAATGGGCGCTGCACCAAATTTTATCCGGATCTAGGCAGCCATTACGTAATTATGGTAACACACATCCATCCATCAGCATTTTCGAATTTATAGCATTAGTATAATCTGTGCAGATAGCCGATAGGTCAAAAGGCAGGTATATGATAATTCCTCAACCTATACAATGTCTATTTAAATACGTCTTTTTAGGACTGAGCTTGTCTAGGATTTTAGTTGACAATATTCTTAAACGAGCTACTATTTTTCTTTCGTTAAACAAAAATATTACATCACCAACAAAAAGAAACTGGTCTAAGATATTAAAGTAGTCTTTATCTTCTCTGACAGGTATGAAAGGTTAATAATTTTCTTTCTTATAATGGCAATGAAAATGGAAGAAAAATGATACTGCTTCTCAAGAATGTCCACAAAAAATGTTATCTTTTATCATCTAGACAACCTAAAATATATCTAGTAAGCGGTATTCTCATATTAAGATTATAAATTGTTAAAGGAATGGGATGATATTAGTTAATTATTGGATAACAATAAAAAGCTTCATATATTTTTTTTTAGTTTATTATCTGTGTGCAAGGATCGTGAGACTTTGTATATTCTTTGCCTACCCCTTTAGGTTATGAGCTTGAAATATGGTTGTAAAATATTCTTCCACAAAATATGAAAATACATATTTATAGGCAAGGTACACAATAGCTATAATATCGTAAAATTGTCCTTTTATGATACATTTAAGTGTCGCGTCGTAATTGGTTCCTATTTTAGTCGGCACGGCTTACATCGTTCCACAAGCATGTTGCATTAAACCAATAAAGTTCACTTAAATTGTATTTATTTATAAACGTCGATTTCTGAAACAGATCGTAAAATTTCTGAAATGCTCAGCGGTTATTGGTTCTGATTTCGCACGCAAACGCACGAATGGCACTTACTAAACTACTCTACATTGCTATTTTCGTAAGTTATACCTTATACAAATTGCTTAATTTAACTATCACAATAATAGTTACTTAGCTTCCTTACCTCCGTCTTCGTTTAAAAAATACTTATGTTACATATTGATAAAAGTGACATCTATCGGTGGAAAAAATAAAATCGATCTATAAAATTTTGCAAACTAAAAGAACCAAAATAATAAATAGTGTAATTAAAACACTTTAAGGCAACTAATATATCGTTTCAAGTAAAGTTTAAGACAATACAAGTGTTGTAAAATACATTAATTCTAAATTCTATTTGAGATTAAAGTTCTACGTGTTTAATTTTTGCTAATCTCATTTATCTCAATTCCAGCTTTTATAACCGTAGGTCTATTTATCATGCGTCTATTTGATGTTATCTTTGTCTCATTTTGAATGTAAATTTATTAAGGTTTGTTTTATGACTTCAATTGTATTAGACTGGAACCATGAAAATTATATGAATCTTATTATATTTTTAATTTAAATTTTACTTTGTTAAAGGTCACATTGTCTTTAATTTCGGATGAAGTAGAAGCAAATATTTCAAGTGTTGCACCACCTGTCAAAACTATATTAGATCCAAAACGACGCAGCGATCTTGTCGATGAAGCATTTTTGGAACAAAAAGATGTTTTGTTAGATATGGTATTATAAAAATTAAATTAACTACGCACTACAATCCTCTCACAAGGTTCATCATCAATATCTGACGATGGAGGGAAAAAGGAAGGTTGATTCAGTCCCACATCACATTCCCTTGTCATGAGGCAGACAGTATGCTCTTCCATGCTTCTGTATTATCCATCATATCTGAATTCACTCCATTCTTAATCATATGCAGTAGTATAGTATGGATCTACTTCTTAAGTCTTCTACCATTGTAGCCATCCAAAACTGATCTACTATTTTTAAAATATAAGCTTGTTGTTTAATTCTAAATTAGATAGGAGTATTAGTAAAACGTTATCATAATAAAATGTAATTACAGTTAGAAGCAAAACTCAAAGAAGTGCGAGATAAAAAGAGAAAGAAAAATGACCGCGGTGATAACGTAAATAATAATTTTGCCAATAATAATGGAGATTCTGTCAAATGTGAATCATTACCGAAAAATGTTGATGTCAATTTAAATGCACATGGAATCAGTGCAATTGGAGAAGCGGAGGTTAAACTTAAATTTGGAGAAACGGGTATAATTTATGCAGGCAATTTTCTATGACAGTTATTTATTTTTTATTTATCGATTATTTTATTTCCTAAAGGTAACAGTACTTTAAATCTAGATGCTACAGGTGTATCTAATATTGGTCAAACTCATGTTGATATTACGGTTGGTGACGGTAATGTCCATGTGCCTGGACTTAATAATATTTTTACAGGTAAGGGTTTGAAATATTACAAACATCGATTTCTTAACTGAAACTTAATGTAAAATCAATGAAATAAATCAGATTTTAAGAGATTAAAATTAGAAAAAACTAAAAGAAGCAACAAGCTACACACATAAAAAATAATAATTTGTTTTCAAATTCTGTTTTAGGTAATTCTTTTCTTAAAAAAAGATGTGAAGTTGGGAATAAATCAAACGTTACAACAACAGGCGCTGGAAACCCAATTTTTATCGAACTTAAAGATAATGTCGGGAGAAAAAGGGGCAACGATACAACAAAAAATCTGACATCTAATAATACAGTTCTGGCATTAAACGCAACTAACATAGGACTGCAAAATCAATCTATTACAACTACAACAGTGAAGCCTAATGCTAATGATACTAGTCCTACTAATTCTACCAAATAGCAACTGACCTGCTTTAAAAAATTAAAATATTTTCCTTATCGATTGCGTGTCATCTATAACTTTTAAAAAGTATATTGAATTATGTTGATAAATTTAGTGTTCAGAATTTGAATATTATTGCATCGATGCTTCAATGGTTTTATTTTATTCTGTAAGATATCATACATTTGACAAAACTATCGTAAAACTGTTTAGTCTCGCTTTAATTCCTATGAGCTTGTATGGAGGTGCGCACACTACTCCATTTTTAGTTGTGCAACTAAACAGTTAAATTGGCTGCGAGACAATCGACAATCGCACAACAGTTGTGCGATAGTTTAGTCAAAGTTCAACCCTCTCTTAAAAAGATGTGCTACGCCACTGTAACTTTAGCAAAACCGTTGCAGGGTTTAGCAACATTTCTATTTACATTATTAATAAAATGAATCAATAGATCTTGATGCTTGATTACTCAAGAAGAGGAGACTGTACATAACCGTTTTTCTTTGTGTAGTGCGGCGGCCGCGGCGGCGGCAGCGGCTGCAGCGGCGGATGGCGTGTGTTTGCGACGAGGGCCGCCGCCACTGCTGCGATCGCGCACATTGCCCGCCATCATTGCGCCCGGCTTCTCCATACTGCATGCACAGATCGACCCACAGCGATGTAACGGTGAGTGCCCCTTTTGAACTTTTGCTGCTCTAAATAAGGTGTGCTTTTACTAAACTACTGGCAGATAAAATCTGTAACTCTTTACTAATCGTTTCTTTATAAAATTTATTTCTAAGGTTTGCCGAAACATGGAATATGTCGCCACTGTCTACAAAGAGATGGTAACGGTCACAATTTTATTCTTTTGGTGAATCGGAATTCCCATAAAATCATCAGAAAACAAGGAGTGCAATAACATAATTTAGATTACTCTAATGTACACGACAATAACAATGCTTGTTTCAATTATAACGTTCATTTAAATTGAATATTTAATTTATTCCTCAGGTTGGTATCTAGAATAAGTTAATTTGTAACGTAATAGAAAGGTTAAGGTACGGTTAACGTATTTAAAAGCTTATCTGAGATAAAGTTCAGAAATCCCATTGCCGTTGGCGTGTTTTAAAATCGTTTTATTTACCTTATTTTTAAGCCGATGCATTATCTTACACGCGATACTGGTTTTAACACGAAGCCCTTAATAATATGTATTATCTAAATAGATTACTTTTTATACATTTGAATTGCCTATTTAGATTTTTACTCGACTTATTATTTAGCATTTTCATAGTTTCAAATATACTAATATTATAAATGTGAAAGTTTTGATAGACAGATAGATGTTTGTTAGAGTTTGCCTAAACGGCTGAACGGATTTCGATGAAATTTGGTAGAGAAGTAAAGGACAGTCTGGAAGAACACGTAGGCTACTCACTCTTGTTTTTTTTTTAATTGCACGGGATGTAGTCACAGGCGAAAGCTAGTATACAAAATGAGTACCATAAATTAAAAAGAAGAATGTAACTCAGAGTTACATTTTTCTTTGGAGTATTATAGACGTGTAAGTGAATTTAACGATAATAATCATAATTAAAATACTATTTGTTTAATGAAACTGCCCCTTAATTCCATTCGATGGCGGCTCTGTGGTCGTTAACTTTATCTATTAAAGCTCTATGTTCCGACCAACTTACATTTATATCAAGTGGATTACAGTGGCCTTTTAAATGCTTTAGTTAGTAGTTTTATCTTCAAATTTATTCATTCCATTTCAATTGTACTAATAATGATTACCGTTAGAAAACTACGTAACTTTCAAATAGAGTAGACGAGTTTTCAAGTTTAAAACGTTATAAACAAAAGTATGTTCTATCAAGCCTTTTTCATCACTTAAATTAAGTCTTCCTTAAGCAGCATTTAAATGGTTTGAAGTAGAAATTTCATTCTCACCAATGTATATGTGTCACGTAAGGTTATAATTGCACTTTACGGGTCTGTTAAGCAAAGAGGCACTTAATAATACTTCAGAGGTTGGTTGATGATTGACATTAGTGTAGATTTCAAGTATTAATTTGGGATATTTTTTTTAAAACTGTATTTTTTACTACTGACTTAAATTTGTTTACAATAAGGGTTTCAAGTGTCATGCAAACTATGTCTAGACGCAATAAAGGATTGGTCGTTTGAAAATTCGTAACTGCCTAAGGGAGCCCGTTAATTAAATTTTACACGCAGTTTAATATTATGAAATTCAATATGCAAAGTACTTTATTACTTAAGCTGTAAACAAAGTGCTTGCTTTCGTCAGCGACTCCGTCCGCCTGAGATTGTAAAACAGTGAATAGCCTATGTATTCTTCCAGACTATCCTCTAAATCCCGAATTCTAACGAATTCCGTTCAGCCGTTTAGGCTAAAAACTCTAACATCCTATACTATATAAACTTTCACATCATTCTCATATTATAATCATAATTTTACTAATATTACGAGTATAAATGTGAAAGTTGAGATGGATGGATGTTAGAGTTTGTAACCTAAATGGCTGAACGGATTTGATGAAATTTGCCATAGATGTAGAGGGTAGTATGTAAGAACGCATAGGCTACTCAGTTTTTTTATATCACGCGGACGGAGTTGCGGGCTAAAGCTAGTTTATAATATTAGTAAGAAGTAAGATAAGATTAGTATTATGTAAATATAACAATTATTTTCACTTTTGAATACTGCTCTACTTTTGGTGTCATCTACTTGGCTCGTATCCAAGGCGACAGTCATTTCTTAGTGACATACAATTGGAATACTTTTCTCTATTTACTCGTGAATATTTTCACTGCACTTTGCTACTAATAATTGTTGCTATTTTATTTTCATCTCTGTAATTTTTCTGCAACGATAACTGTTTGTTTACTTTTAATAAAGCAATACCTAATGTTATGAACTACAAAGATTTGTATATAACGAATAAACTCAAAAACTACTGAGCTTATTGCATTAAAGTCATTCGAAAGCTGCTTTATCTCTGGGTGCCGGCGCTTTTTATTAATTTAACACAGACGTTGTTGCAATTAAAAGCTAGTTTATAATAGTTAGTAATAATAAATAATATACTTCAATATTTTACAAAAATAAAACACATTAATTTTAAAAGAAGTATTCACACAAAGAAGATGTAACTAAATCACACTACAGGAGTTCCTCAAAGAAAATCCTTCCTTCGCGATCTCGTACGGGAAAGTGTCATAAAAGTGTCATGTAACACTTGTTCCTCTACAATATTAAAACTTTACTGCTTTGAACTTGTAGAAATTGTTTTATTCTATCAAGTTGACTTTTTAAATAATTATGTATGAATGTAGTTTTATAAGAGAATTTCTTTGAACGATATTTTTAATATAATTTTGATGTGTTTGTACCTAATAAGTTAAAACCACCAAACTAATTTTCTAATAGGTTTCAGTAAAGAAAACTTTTACTGAGTTACAAGAATTTTTAATGTCCAGTGTTATAGTACACTAGCATTCGCCCGCGACTACATCCGCGTGGGATTAAAAAAACAGAAGTGTGTAGCCTATGTGTTCTTGTTTATGTTAAATATCATCGAAATCCGTTCAGCAGTTTTTGCTACAAACTCTCACAAACATCCATCCAACTAAACTTTTGCATTTATAATATTAAGTAATAAGTAAGAAGTACTTTAACTTGGAATATTTGTAGGTTTGTTGTGGAATAGTTTAACGTCAAGTTATCCTTACAATGGCTTTTAAGCGAGCTCGTTTCAACACGCAACGCCACTTCCGTCTGTTTTGATATTCAAATTCAAACAGTGGTAGAGACCGCTTTAACATCTTCGCACGAATGGGTCGGTTTCCCCGGTGTAATACTACGACCATAAGACAAGCGTGAAGTAGAAGCAATTCCGAGTTTCGTCTGATGAGTGTGGTGACGGAGGCCTAATTTTAGTCCCCTTCCTTTCCCATCATTTTCTTAAATCGAAAGGGAATGTGGATTTGACGCTGAAGGAGACGCTTAGGAATGGGAAATATCCTCTTTATGAGCGTTTCCTCCCTTGATTAAGGGTAGGCAACGCATCTGCAATTGCAGATGTATATAGGCAGTTATCGCTTCGCTTTTTGGCAAATTCAGGTGTCTGCTAACTCGTTTGCCATCTTGTAATATAAAAAAAAAAACAAATTAGTTTATGTAATAAATTATAAAAATAGTTGACTACTGATCTATTAATAATTGTTTCAGACAGTGGATTGTTTATTTTTTGATTTGGAAAGCCATGAAATATAGTCTTTGTAGTAAGAGAAGAGAGTGTAAGAGTGAGTGTGTGTGTGTGTGTTTTGGAGAGTGGTCGCGACCCTCAGGAATGAGGAAACGATCCGGAGAGAGAGAGAGAGAGAGAGAGAGAGAGAGAGAGTAAGAGAAAAATTGTAGTGATTATCAGACATAAAACTCATATGAGAAGTTATTAATTTTTTAATTACTAAACATCCCTGTGTAACGTACTTTTATTATTTTTGTCAACTCTGAAGATCTTTACATCAGTAAACATGATCTACGTATCAGGTACGGGACAAAATCCAATTAATGTTTTAAGTAAGGTTAAGTTCTCATTAACATAATTCATGAGTGAATTTTAATGGCGTCCAGGCGTCAAATTGCCGGCACACGACGCTTCACGTATATATCTATAGAAATTAAACCACAATCAACGTGTATGTGTTCTGTATATGTACAATTGATCATCTAAACATATAACATAAATATTAAACTGATTACCGGCGCAATACTGAAACGAAATTTAAATATGTATAAGTATTATGAATGATAAAGGCACGATTGAACGCCAATTTCATTAAAATTTTGAAGTTAGTCACATGAAAATTGAATCCTACATATGAAAATTCAAAAAATCGAAAATAACATTGGTACACAGCGGGATTCGAACCCAAGACCTGTAGATTACAAGTCAAGTGCTTAAACCACTGAGCCAACGACGCTCTCAAAATACTTTTTTTAATTACTTAATATTTATTTAAAAATATGAAATGTGAATAACCAAAGTTAGGTAATAAAGTAGGTAAAATTATATCATAGAAGATTTATTATTCAAGGCAAGATTCAATGTTTAACGAAATCTAATTGATTTCGCCGTAATGTCTCATTACGTATTCTAATGTTTACTTCAAATTTTGAAAGCAATTTCAATTATTACAAAATTTAAAACAAACGTAAACATACCTCACGCCCGTTATCCAGAGACAAGCAGAGACCACGAACATTGCATTCTTACAAATGTTTATGGTATATTATGCAACTAAATAGTTAACAGTGGTAGAGCCCGCTTTAACATCGTCGCGCGAATGGGTCGGCTCGCCCGGTGTAATACAACGACCACACAGAAAACAGGCGTGAACTGGAAACAATTCCGCGTTTCGTCTGATGAGTGTGGTGCTGGAGGCCCAATATTAGTCCCTTTCCCTTTCCACCCTTCATAAGAGGAAAGGATGGGAAGGAAAAGTGCATTTGACCGTGGTGGAGACACATAGGAAGGGGAACTGTCCTCTTTATGAGCGTCTCATCCGCCTTCAATGAAGGGTAAGCAACGCATCTGCAATTGCGGACGTTTATGGGCAGCGGTCGCTTTCCATTTCGGTGGATTGAGGTGGCCGCT